CAGCAACTGCATGCATTATTGCTGAAGTCGCTAGGGCCGCTTTCCAATCGCGCCTTTCCACTTTTCACTCTCTACTCCAACATGCACATTAAAATCATCCATTAGAATGATGGGCTTCGCAGTTGGCACTTCGCATAAAGCACCCTTCATTCCCTCAAGGAAAGATCATATTCTCCATTGAAACTGGGCGCACAGACGTGTAAGAAGGTCAACGCTTTAGCCTGCTGTAGCTTTAGTCAGAGGATTGTCACCCTTCCGCTGACAAGCTTCCATTGAAGGTGTTCCTAGTCATTTTTATTCACTTCTTGATTTCACAGCCGATTCAACGTTGCATAGATGAGCTGTCCCAGAGACATAAATTTGCTTAATAAAATTGGGCTTAAAGAACAAATTGCACGATACTTAAAATACAATTGCAGAGAGTAAATCGATAAATGGCAGCAAGAACGAAAATTTATCATATGACAGAATATCGTCAGAATTCTACAACGGCGTATCTTTATTAACTTGAGAATAACTTCGTTGTTTTCATGTCTGAGGGCCAATTACTTTGGACCAGATTAAAAGCTTTAGAACTGAACGGAAGATGAGGTTGAGCATTTAATGGACACAGGAAAATATACATTACCTGTTTCCGAAACAAATCCGCGGACTGTTCGTCCACAACACTTGAGACGAAAAGGAAGACGTCATCGACTGACCAGCTGTTTGGATCTTTGTCACAAATTCGTCGCAATTCTACAAGTACAAACAAATTAAACATATCTTCTTAACACTAAAAGTGAGCAGGAAAATTTAAGGGACGCAATGGGCAGACAAAATTTTAATATAATAAATGAAGACGCAACGTATTTTCAATTGTCATTCACAAACAATTTTACAAAGAACTTAGACATAGTAAATCTGACGACGCTGAATTCTTACAAATTTCTAAATCAGTGAGCGTGGTATATATACTATAAATTATGAAGGATTAACTGTGACTTCTAAAACTGATTGCGAACTTCAGTAAACAAACCAATTCAACAGCTCATTTGTCCACTCATTCATTTTCACTAAAGTAGAATCGTGATTTAATATGTGCGTTATCTTTTGATAAAAATATCATCCAAATGTTTTCTGGACAGCTACCATGAATGATAATCTGTCAACGGATAATGGCATATTTTGTTTGTGCTCTAACGCATCATCGTTCAACGCAACTCGATAAAGAGAAGCAACTTTGCATCTGAAGCACCACAAGCACTTAATAGTCTCCATAGACAAATAGATGCAAGACGGCGGTGCGTTTTCGTTGTGTCAATCCAGTATGATAAATTTATATGCAAAACACATAAACTGTTCCCCTGATATACTTTGTAGATCCTTATCATACAGCCAAATAAAAGTCTGATAACGGTTTACTGAACACAACGTACAGAAAGGCACTTAACCACAGTTGGTACTCAACATTTTCTAATCGTTCACTGAACAGAAAACTGGCAAATTGAACCCGATCTTCTAAACTTTTGTATTTTTGTAAATGCTGGACATTAAACGAGTAAATGCAAAAACACAGCTAAATTTAATACGACAGTATGACAATGGGATCGATCGAAACTCAAAAATTATCTTATGCATTTGAAAACGTTACTTTTGGGAGGAGAATGGAAGCACGCCTCGCGTGGAACCTCCTTCTGTCCACAGCATCGCTTACAAACCGGTTCACCGCTAATCAGATTAGGACAGCAACCGAGCAAACTGCATAGTTCAGACACGTAAACCCAAGCGGTTTCCGCTCGACCCCACACAGGTAGGTAGCGCACGTATGCGACGCCATCCAGATCAGCCGTGACGGTCACATAACCTTCTCCCCTTGGTATGGCAGAGAATACGGCACGCACATCCAGGGCGCAATCGAGTAGGGTCTGTATAACCATGCGCATCACATGGTTTAGATTTGCAGGACCGAACTTCCGCGGGGCGTCGCACAGCTTCAGAGGGTCAAGCCAGGATCCAAGACGACAGGAAGCGTTTAGATAAATACAAACTAAAAAAGCACCATAAATAAATATAAAAAACAAATACACTTTGTATTCGACAATTTTAAGTAATCCATTTTTCATGAAAAACTATAGATGCAAGCTATTTAACCATTGGAAGTCACTAATTACTTACTTCAGGAATAACTAATAGAACTGTACAGAGACATGAACTAAAAACTGAGAGATAACGGTAATAACAAAAGCAGTATATCTCATTTTATGAACAGAGGGTCCAGACATAATGCAAAAATACTAGCAACATTAACAAGACCTAGACAATATTTATCTGTATATATGGTTAAAGCAAAATCAAATATGTTCCTTCACCTTAGGTCATCCTTAATTCCTGCAATATGAGGAAAAAAACCATTGTCTGTCACAATACAGAAAAAGCAAAATAAATCGAATCTAAATTGACAGCGACATTCTTACATCACTATAAAAACGAGAACTGCAGCAGCATTAATAACTAAGGTAACATTAATATACTTACATTTGCGAGTGGCGTCGGAGTCATCACAACCAATCATGACGTCTCGCTCGTTTGGCTCAATATCACTATTGACGGCGAAGGTAGAAACATACTGTTCGGCAGCGCTTCCGCCGTTGAGCATCGGTGAACTGACGTACTTTGTACTATGGTTTGGACTGGACTCGGAGGCGAATGTGGAAGTAGCATTTGGTCGGTGTTTGGAGCCGAAGAGGTCTACGACGACTGCATCAGATCTATACAGTCCGTGGGTGCAGCACATGCGGAGGTCGCTTTTGCGTCCTGATCCTCGCTGGGAAGGTGTGGGAGGACAAGATCGATGCGGAGAGAATTTCATGGATGTGTTGTTCTCCTTCAGTGCGACCGACGTTGATATTTCAGAGCAGGTCAGTTTTTGATGCAAGCCGTTCACACGAGATCCCCCGCTACTGCACTGAGCAACGTCGAAATAAGTCGTCGTAGGCATAATCGAAGGAGTAGTAGGCTTCTTGTAAACAGGCAGACAACGACCTCGTACGCAGCGCATCTTGTTTGGAGGTGGAGTGACATTGACGCCGATCTTCTGCCACCAATTGGCCGGAAATAACTGCTTCGAATCGAAAGCATACCATTGACGAATTTTCCAGCCGTCGAACATCACTTCGACCTTGTCAGGCTTCACCTGTACGATGGTTGACGGACAGATCATTCTCGGTTCTTTTGGATCTATGGCCTCAAGCTTCATGCCCACTTCAAATTTATTTGTACCAGGATGCTTGGGGGGCTAAAAAGTTTTGTTGCAAAAAGAAATAAGCTCCATAAAAATACAAGGAGAAAACTAAAAATGGTACTTCAACTAACTACTCAAACCAGATGTTGAAAGAAGACAAAGAGCTTAGATCAAATGATGGGTAAAATACAAGAAAATGCGCGTCATTAATCATGGTCAGTGAGAAAACCTAAAGTGAAGGCTGACAGAATGGAAATGAAGATCAGCGCCGACTATCAACTTCATGAAAGTAGCAGCAAGACCAATACACTAAACAAATGTCAGTATCGTCTACAGTTTGATGATTGCGGGCTATATGTAGCACGGAGCGTATGGAGCGGCGCTAACCTATATTTCAGTAACTTCAGACAGGTGTGCCTTATTGTTTTGAAGGCTATGTCCACAGCAGCGTGATCAATATAGAGTGTAGTCTCCTGCCTTTTCTCACAATGCTGCTCAGTTATCTAGTATTGAAGAATGAAAGGCAAATGATAAGACCGGAGCTCGAACCCACGACTTCTCGATTGCCACTCTGAATGCTTGGGCAACTCCAGTACGTCCATTCCCATTTCATACTATTATGAATGTCCTTGAATACGACTCATTTCAAATTGAAGACACCACTTATGAATATGAACATCCTTTCTGTTAATTCATGTGTTCAAATTCATACGAAGGGGATAGACTACTATGAAATGCAAGAAAATCTTTAAACTTTTAAAGATGAACCTGTAGTACACAATGCATACTTGAATTAAGAAAACGCTTTATTTTGAATTTGTTTGGTAAAAAGCTTGCTATATTTCTCCCCTATTCTGATAATTGTAAAGTAAAAAGGACAGTTTAGAGAGGCATATAATACACACAATTACATACTGCCACCAATTAATCTTATAAAGGGTGAATCAAGGACATGATCCTAGAAGAATTCACTACAAATACATTAAACTAAGTCAGACCATCAATAATAGCAAAACCTGAAAACTACCTACTTCGATAAAGCATTGCTTTTGAGCAGATGAGCTGGAAGATATCGCGTTCTGAAGAAAACTTTTCCAACGAAGCGTGTCACTCTGAAAGCCTACAATAAATTCAGGTAAATAATCAAATAATCAGATCTCATTTTAAGTAGAAAATTTCATTTATATGGCTAACAAGGTGACTCTATTACTCATACGACCCGAAGGAACAAACGGAATTCGATAATGACTGACTCTAGAGACTAACCAGCGATCCTCAATGATCATTTTTAAAAACACCGCATTATACATTCAGTTCAAAAATGCCAACAGCAGATGTCATGCAATTAGGAGTAATGAGGACATAATATATATCCGAAATTAAAATATAGACAAGTTCAAAAATGACTAAATATTGTTAAAATGGCTGATTAACCCAATGCTACGTAAAAGATCACTACGGCATTGCCGTATATCACTGTTTTCCTCTGTGTTTAGAAGAGTATTTATTTTAATTGTTCATTCCAGTGATTTATTAGCTGAAAGACTTTTCGGTTATTAAGCCATCCAGATTTAACATTTACAAAACATGAACAAACAGATCGCAAAAGAACTCCAGAAAAAGACCCATGAAAATGCCAAATGTGTACATTGGCTATGTTTTGATTCCACTTGTCTAAATCACGACAATTCTACGACAACGAAAGTTCGAACAAAACAGTTTACCATCTTCAAGTATATAGGGCAACTATCTGCATAATTCTCCTAATAAAGCATAGTTAAATCAATTCATCACACCTTCCTACCCTCTGTATTTATAACATTGACTGCGGGCTGGAGGAAACAATATATCAGACGAGTTCATGGATCACCTCAGCAATTGGATATTTAACCTTCACATTGATTGAAATATAGCTCGGGAAGACCGGCATATAGTCTTAGAAAAGTGGACAGAGTTACCGCGTAAAAACAAGAAAACCAACGATGTGTTAGTAATGCTGGACTGTCTGAATTTGGGATGTCAGATCGAAAGTATTTAAAGGTGTTGAAAATTTCTTTTTCAAACAACCGTAGCAACTGGCCAATCGGCTAATATTCAGTCAAAGGCCGATCAACATTAAGCGGTCGGCCAAAAATCTGAACAAAACCTCTAAGGCTCTTGTAGAGAGTCGTGCAATTCGGTATCTGGTGCATTGCCCTGCAGTTTGAACAAAGATACAAGTCTGGCAACCACTAAAATGAACGATTCCATTCCAGAATCAACCACAATCCGTTTATTTTAAACAGTCGTAAAGAACATGCCTGAATCTTTAAACTGCTGGTCAGACACAGAGTAATAAAGTGCTGATGCTCCAAAGTATCAAAGCATTCATTTGTATAAGTTCCCAAAGAAAACGTAGTGAAACCATTAGCATCTTCTGCACCATCCAAAAAGAGAACTGGAGACTGATTAGCAAAACAGACGGAAAAACTGAATAATCCTTCAATGGCAACAGACAGAGGAGAGAAAATTACCCACTGTCTGAAATTTGGACGATAATAAGATAACAATATTCTTATTATCTTGACTTGTAAAACATAGTATTATCATCCTAAACAAAGGATAAAATCTGTCATTTTAATCTTTATTTAATTGAATAAATTTCTGCTCTACTAATAGCATAGTCGTTCTAAAATTTGTTTTCACAATTTATTTACATTTTTGCCCAGCGTCTCTTTCATGCCATTGATTACATTGCAAAACAACTTACCTAATGGGGGCTGCAGCATGCCGCCGCTCTTCTCGGTGTATCCGATCGGATGAATGCAACTGGAATCGACGCTGACCCAAAAATCGTTACTTGAGCCAGATCCATCTAAACGTAGCAGAAGCCTTGGACCAAACTTTGCCATCACTGTCGCCAGACATGTCGAAGTTGTACATCGTGGGTCCGTTGATTCAAGTTTCATTCCAATTTCGAACAAGTTTGGTGGAGGTGATGAATGCTACATTAACAGATGTCTGATCAGTGAGGGATATTAAAAGCTTAGAGGCAGCGAATCACGTATTAACCTTGTCGTTGACAGTGATAATCGAAACAGTGTTCTTTAGTTCTGAAAATTATTATAGGGAAGAAAGCACACAACAGAGATACAGAAAACAAACAATAATGCACATGAAAATAATAAGTTGGTTTAACGTGAAGATTCCAGAAATTTAGAATGATGTTCCTTCATTAGAACGACAACAAAAATTAACATGGACAACGCACTGAACAGTTGCATGAAAACTGATAAGAATAGAAGCAGTAGTTTAAGAGTACAACAGTAAAAGACTGAGTATTTCGTTCTTGCGTTTGTGATCTCTCTCTACACATACAAGCCGCTGCGAACAACGGAAAGATTTTCAGAATCAGTCAGCCAACCACCTAACCTTGAATTAAGCTCCTGAATCAAGGACTAAAACACTGATACGAGCTTGGGTATTGACCAATAATCTGATTCGCCATATCTTTTGCTTTGTGTATAAATAGTATCATTCATCGTGACGGTGTTATCGGCATTGGTAACGAAACGCATCAGCTGTTAGTAAAACATTGCTGTCTCTGTTTTAAGTCTCAGTTTCTTAATTATGCACAAAAACAACAATCGGCCGATGAACCACGAACCCAGAATCAGAATCTGTTAAGGAAAAACTTTTGTTTTTTAACAATAAAGGGCAAACGGAAGAAATAAATGTTGATTCCGCCATTGTCGGCCCCAAAACCAGACAAGGAAGCAGAAAGGATGGGGAGCATGGCGAGGTCCCCATGAAACAGCCACCTGTCCCTTTGTTATTGCCGCTATCGAACGATATACCGGCTCGGTCGTCGCCGGGGTTACCAAGAACTGCGCAAGATGGGAAACTGAGCACACTGCAAAACGTGAGTAACCAGAATTTGCTTCTCGCCTTCTGGCAGCTGGGAACGTAGCAACAAAACGATGCCTGCCAAAAATTTACAAGATGACGACGAACATGCCAGTCAGCAACGAAGCCGCTAACCTCATTCAACTTAAGAAATAGACAGCGCAATGCATTAGAGCGCGTCAGATAAGGCTCCACTGGAACAATAACGACAGTGAGAGCTCACAGTCGAAAAGTAAAAATGTTTCTACTCGAATAAGTAGAAATTGTTTGGCCTCTCTTATTGAAAGCATTCACAAAACGAGTTTAAACTATCGCAGCTACGAGTTCTCAATTCAAAAATTGGTTGTACACCAAAGCTTTATTGGACATCTGAACTCTGGACCATGTGGGACGTGATTCCTCTGAGAAACCCAACTTCAACCGCTAGCACATGGGATCGCTGTTTTTCAATTATGGACCGTGACTCATAACCACAGTTGAGGAGGGACACGGAAATCGACTACCTGACTTAAGTCGAAATTTCATGAACGAAGACAGATCTTCTTTACCATTCCTATTGCCCCTGATCTTGCGACAGTCAGGTAACTGCAATTTCGTGGAAGGTTCTTCAGCACTAATTGGAATGATTTTTGGTATTATCGAGTAACCAACCTAAAATACTCGCTGTCAGCAAACTTCCGTTTGGGTTGAACGAGTGACGAATCTAAAAGTTTGGCGATTTTATTGACCTTCCTATTAACTGTCAGCTACAAGGGCTGGAATCAAACATGGGAAGAGATTCTATTACTGGCAAACAATCACTTGCCTGAAATATTTTCTTCGCCGAAGCAATAAAACTTACAATTTACGAATCTACTTACGATCCTGTTGATATAAAAAACTATAGCCCTGAAGCCCTTGAGGTGGGGGGGGGTTTGCATAAATGAACATGACAAGTCACAAAGTTGAAATTTATTTATCGAACAAAATACGCACAGTGCAACATGAACTTAAAACCTTAATTCATCTGGTGTACCCATTACAAAAAATATAGTGTACACATTACCACATTAGTGTACAAGAAAACTTACCTGCAGGAAACAACTGGGAGGAGCCGCAAGAGCATCATTTTCCTTCAGGTATTTTTCCCAACTGAATGGTTCTAAAAAAATATGTTTAAACATATTGATAAAAGCTGCAAACGTGAAACATCCGCACCAGTGAAATCGTCTTTCAGAGTTTTCTCTACGTTATCTGAATTCTTCGCTACTTTCATGGAGCGAGAGTTCATAACTTCATTTACTGCGTTTAATTTTAAGTCTGGCCAACCACAAATAAACCAAATCACATTCAACAGTAGCCGATAGTAGACAGAGGCAAATTCTAAAACAGTCATTTAGCAATTCTGTCAAAGAACGTTGACGCGAAAAATTGAAACAGTTACTTGCACAGCGTCATCAACAGTTTTGTTTCCTACACCGCTGTTTATTTGTTAAACAGAATATTTTTTTGGTCTTTCTGAGCTGAAGAGCATTTTGCTGATCCTGTTCAAGAGACAAAATCCCACTTCAATACTTGAATAAGTTATAAAGACGAAGAATGAGACAACCAGACAAGAAGAACGAGACTAGGTTTTGCAAATAAAATTTTTTACTACTTTTGACCTTTATCGCGAGGCTAGTAAGCACAGATGCAGTAAAAAGCATATCCATTAACGAGCATTATAGTGCTATAATCAATGAAATGATGAAAGATGCATCATCGCACTGTAGGTTTTAAAGCATCCAGTAGTAAGAGGGTGATGCCATTACGCTGCATAAGCTGATTTTCTTGACTTGTCTCCGTGATTCTTACGGCCATAAATTCAAATTCGATTCTCACAATGTCTAATCATAAACAACATATCTGCATGAACAAGCCTAGGCTGTTTTGAACCATACACTATAAGTTGAGGATTGGCATATTCCGAATTAATGTTGCCGCTGACAACTGGCCCTGTCATTTGTCGTATAAAGCAGAAAGTGAAAACCTCATCGTCTTCTTTCAACCTGTTACAGGACGCTGTAAAATTTGAGTAAAACACACCAGTGCACACATTTTACTGCAATGTGATGAAACAAATTCATCATGCCTTCTTCGAGAAAATTGGCGGTGCCCACTCCAAGTTTTTCTGTGCATATTTGTCATCTGAATACATCACCATAAATAGATATCCTTAAAAAGAATCAGAAACACCAGTGAAATCCTGATAAGTCTTCAAGGATATCATAGTGGCTGATGAGGTTACACTCCATTCATTCAATTTGCTGCACTTCGGCTGGCATGCACTATTTACTTTTCAAAATGTGTCAAGCTTTATAAAGATTAACGAAACCGAGTAAGGTGGATTAAATCAGAGATGCATCCGCCTACAACATTTAATTCACTTGCCAGAAAATCGAAGATGTCGAATAATTTTACTGCTCCTGAAACTTACAAAACGCTGTACTCCGTCATCTCCGTCACGCTTACTCGCTTATGCTTACCGAGACACCTTTGAAATGTCGGTCATCCTTCACATTCATAATTGGACCATTTTGAGCCCTTCTTTTCAAGAAGATGATGGTGCGGTGCTGATCTCGCTTTTATGCCATCAGCCAGGAGTGCCTTATTTTAAAAG